AGGGTTTCTTAGGTTTCTTGGGTTTCTTAGGTTTCTTAGGTTTCTTAGGTTTCTTAGGTTTCTTAGGTTTCTTAGGTTTCTAAGTTTTCGTAGGTTTTTTAGGTTTCTTAGGTTGTTTTTTGGGTTTCTTAGGTTTTTCTCAGGTTATTCAGTCTGAGTCAGAGCTTGAGCACGGGCCTTTGGAACACTGTGTTGGTCGGCTACTGCTAGTTCCACTTACTCAACGTAAATTGTGCATTATTCGTGCAGCAACGGTAGGCTCGCGATGGATACGTCCCATGACAATTTGCTGGGTAAGAATGCGGGTTAGCCATTCCTGTTGCACTGTCAGCAGCGCAGACGAAAAGGATCGCTGAAGTGCTGCGTAACCACTGCGACGACGTACGACAAATTCCATTTAAATTGTAACGGATAGCACAGTGCAGCTAGAGCTAAATTCCGCAGCAGTTCAGGATGATAGAGAAACGTGGAATGTAACTCCTGTTCAATTACATCGTGCATTGCACTACTTTTTATAGCGCCCCGTGCCAGTAGCGCTCTGGCGATCTTGATACAGATTTTGATACGGTTTTGATACAAGTACTTAGGTACTTGGGAAAACCGCGGACCGTGAACCGCAGAGAATAAATGATATTTATTCGCCCCAGCAATTAGAGGAACCCATTTTGCACACGGACGCGCTTACCTTGTCACCAGAATTACCCGCAATCCCGTCTGCTCGGGTGGAATCCCCAGAAACTGACTTTGAAGAACCCGAAGTAAGTCTCATGCAGTGGATTATGTCCTCGTCATTGTCTTTGCGTTATTTCATCGATACCTTTGTTTTGAGTGCTCTTTTCTTACGCTTTTCTATGCGCTTTTTAAATTTTTCGTTATTGCAGCAGAACAATCTTAGCAAGCGAAGCCGTTGAAGTATTGTATGCAAACTTTAAAATAACCTGATGTATAAAAAGCTTGTCTGATTTGGAGTGTGCCCTGATACAACTGCTTCTAAATTAAGCGCTTACAAATTTGGTTGTGATTAAGTAGATACACCGACTTTAGTCTATCCACGGCTTTCCCCTCAATCGCACACGGTGTTCGGAAGAGGAACAGCAACAGCTTCCCTAGTCGAGCGGACATCGGAATTTGAAGGGCCGACAGAAAAGAGAAAACCACCACAAACCAATTCGCACAAAGCCAGTGTCAACAAAGCGCAAAAATTTGGACAGCAAATTTTTTCGCGATCCCTGCCACAGTCGTGTATTCTTTGCTCTTTCACTGTTTCAAAGTTATCATGTTTAGTTGCAGACTTTCAGTGTTCGGTGTACACGTGTTCCAGTGTTTCACTGTTTCAAAGTTATCAAGTCTAGTTTCAGACTTTCAGTGTACGGTTATTCTTTCGTTTTGGCGGCCCCCGGTCGTTTTGGACGGTTTAGAGGCTGAAACTACCGGCGGTCGTCTCAGACGACCGGTCGTTTTGGACGGTTACACATGTGTTTCAGTGTTTCAAAGTTATCATGTTCGGTTTCGGACTTTCAGTGTTCGGTGTACACGTGTTTCAGTGTTTCAGTTTCAAAGTTATCATGTTTAGTTGCAGACTTCCAGTGTTCGGTGTACACGTGCACATGTATATTTTAGCTTTAGGTTTCTATGTTTTAGGTATCCCTTTGTGCGGTTTCCCTTAGTTACCAGAAAGAGCTTCAGAGTGTCGATGTTTCAGTGTTTCAGTGTACATGTTTCTGGTTTCCTATTTTGTAAGCTTCTGCTTTCTGTCTCATTTTTCGTGTTTCATTGCTCTTACTGTTTCGCTGTTACAGTTGTTTCAGTGTTCGGGTTTCAGCTGCGATATTTTCAAGGTTTATGCTTCGTTGCGAAACCAGCACATTAAGATGCTTCGCTTCACTCGGGTGTTGATTTGTGTTTATTGTTTTATATTATATCGAGATGCTCTAGTATAACCTTAAGGTGCTTGATTGTGTACAACTCTTGCTATAACGCACTAAAAAGTTTTATCCCAGCTCGGGTAATCTATGGAGATATTGTCTAAACGGGAGCGTTATTATACTAAATTGTATGCGTAACGTTAAACTGGTGGTGCGTGGTTGCGAGGCTACGTTTTGAACCGCGGACCGACTGGCCGATTTGAACTTTTTGTCGTACATTGTGCCTCAAACTGTGTTGGAGCCTGCAGTGCCGTTAATTTCCAAAATGGTGCCGTGATTGATTAAGTCAGTCTTTAAAGCTGTCTCTGCTCTTCTTCAAGCTCGTCAAGTTAACAACAATTATTCGAGCGTCGAAGATTTAGAAGAACTTTTAGTGAACGTCACTCCGCTGTGCGAATTGTGGTCCACTGCGCAAAGGGTTTGTTTGTCTTCTGGCTGCCCTACACCTTCAACCATGCCAAGCGGAATGGGCCGGAACACCAGCGTGGACGTCCTGGGCGACGACGGGATGATACGGTACGGCCACGTGGTAGACGTGAGGGACAATGGTCTCTTCGTCGATCTGCTCAGTTCCAACCGACGCCGTGAATGGGTTCCCTACAACCGCGTCTTCCGAATGAAGAAGATCAGCAAGTACGAGTTGGCTCAGAACTACAGTAGCCAACGTTCGGTCCTTCCCGTGGAAGTCCTGGTACCGGAGACGCCACTGGGACCGTGGATCTGGTTGCCCGGAGAAGCGGGCAGTTTTGATTGTGATGGGGCGCGCCGCCTGTGCGCGGGGGCGATCGTCAGTTGGCGACGCCAAGACAAGAGACAAGAGCCTTGCACCGATTTCGTCCCCGTCGAACGCATTCGCTGGCCGGTGGAGAAAGCGCTTACTCTGCGTCGGATGGCTTTCCCGCAGGCAGTAAGGAAAGTCAAACGTTCTGTCTATGACGAAACAGATGCAGATCAACCAGATCATATTCCGCCTGGGACCTTCTTAAAGCATGTTTTGCCGCTGGGCGAAAAGTTTCGCTCCGTTTCTGCCAAGGAAGCAAAAGAACTAGTCAAGCTACTGAATTCTCCGTACTACAAATATTCTCTATCTTATAACTTCAACTCTTTTTCTCGCGTTGACGCCGTGGAGCTCAAAGATGGTCAGTTAGGGTTCCTCTCCCAAATGGGTGAATCCTGGCAACGAGAGTTCTCGCAATCGTGGGTAAGGAAGAGACTTCTCTCGCTTGAAATCGTTTCCCTAACGTGCACTTTGCGATATTCAGGAGGCGAAGAATTTAGATAAGAGGCTGTTGTCGATTCTCGGCGAATTATGGCCGCACGAGACCGCGACACCGGAGAACATGGCGCTGCCGATGGAATTGTGGCTGGAGGTATTCTCCTTCTTGGACACGGTAACGCAGACGAAGCTGCGCGCGGTCTGCGCAGTGTGGAACGCCATGATGGACACACCAGCACTGCGCGACCGTATTGTGGTCGGCGAGCACATGGATTCCGAGGAGATTTACGGCAGATTCTTATGTTTGGCGGCGGTGTTCAAATGTCTGCGTCCTGGTACCCAACACATTGGGTTGGTCGGTCGGAGCAAGGGGATGGACATGGACGAAGTGTTCGTGCTGTGTGCCTTAATCCGCTTCGTGGCTAACCAGCGAACCGGAATACGCCTGAGAAGCCTACAGCTGAGCTATTTCAGGCTTCGCTTGCAGATTGCCCGTGGTGCTAATACCGCTGCTGTTGGTGACTGTGGTCTGCATCCGCTGGATCCATCCGAGCTCCAGTCGGATGCAGAAAGCGGGACGGTTCGGCTGTCGCATTTTATGGCCGTATGCGGCAGTCTGCCGTTTGACAGCATCTTTATTGCCAACTGCCGTGTTACGTTGAAGCACCGCCTTGCGCTCCAAGTGGGAGTTCCTGAAAAAGAGGTCAGCGTGTCGATGAACGCTCCTTCAGCGCGGCTGCCAAACACCCACCAGTTTCTCTGCACTTTGTGGGACGCATTGGAGGCGGCGTTGCCGGAACCAACTGACCAGATGATTCAGAAACTGACCGACACGAAGCTACAGCAACTGCGATGCAGTTGGAAGGAAGAGGTTCAGTTCGAGAATCTCATGTGCAAGGTAGGATTTGCCGTTAACGGGTGGCGTCGTCATGTGTGGGTATTTCGAATGTTGAAAAATGGAGTTTTGGCTATTTGTAGATGCTGTGTGCGGTGCAGTCGGCTGATCCGCGTCCATGGGCGCACTACCGCGGGAAGAAGTGGTGTGAGCACGGCCTCCAAGATTTGCAAGTGAGGAAACTGTCGCGTATTTCCGTGTATTTCCTTGATGAGTTGGAAAGAACCAAAGCAGCGTGGGGCTTTTGAAGACCGGATAATTTTGCCCGCAGGCTGCATATCCGACATCATTTTCTCAGCTTCTGCCTTGATATCCGACTGAACATATGTATGCGTTGGAACGTTGTTATTTCGTTGTACCCTCTCGTCGCTTTCATGAATTTTTCCACATTGACTGTTAATTATTTTGTTTTCGCGTTCGGAAAAACATAATAGTGTCTGCGCTTAAACGTTTTAACAGCTTAATGCAGGATACAGATTGAGGAACCTATAACAAGAAGAAGTTGTGCCTGTTATGGAACTGAAATTTGCCAACAGCTGTGACGGCTGTAGCAGGTGGCTATACAGTTTAGATGAACACATGCCTTCACAACCTTCAGCACTACATTCACTCCGTACACGGTTCCGTTTATGTTGTCTCCACAGCCAATTTATGGACATCGAAGATAGCAATTTATTAGCGTTATCGTATATATAGAATTTGTTTATGTAATTTTTTTAACATTGCAAAACTATAGTACAAAAGATAAAGTTTACTCCAGCATCTGATCATGGAAGTCTTTGTGAACGCACCGGTCAGAGATGGCCTAATTACAGATAGATTTTGCATTATTTTATTCGACTGGGTGGTACAACCGGTTTCGATTTATAGAAACGGAAGACGACCTAACACGGGCGAAATCGCGGTGTCGAAAATAATAGCATCGCAGTCTGCATTTGCATAGGTCCCTGTATATTAATAAAGGTCACGCAATTCTCGGTTTTTATTCGTCCTAGTTGCAACTACAGTAAAAGAATATTTTTCCTAGTTATTCGGTACACAGCTTAGAGCTACAAATAAGTTGATTCATTTATCACCGAAATAAAATTTAGAAAAAAGGTAACGAAAAACTGGCAGTTGTGCAAATGCAGTCGAAAGCCCCTGGTGATACGGGTTCACGGTCGCGGTGGACGCGTATCCGGCCACTGCGGCACTTTGCCCATTTTCAAGAACGGTTTATCCAACAGCTCATTGGCACCTGGTCGCGTGACCGGATCACGTGACAGACAATCCGCCACAAAGTCCCGCAGTTCGTTGGGTATATCGTTGGGAATAATCGGCGATCCACCACTACCGATGTAGTACATGGCGGCCAGATCGGTCTTCAGGTCCACTTTCTTCCCGTCGACTTCCTTGACGAACCGCGGGAATCCGGTGATCATCTCCAGCACCACACAGCCGAAGCTCCAGATATCGGTCTTGCGACCGATGTTGAAGCCGGTGTCGTTGCCCATGATCATCTCCGGGGACATGAAGGCCCACGTGCCTTTGCCGTGCGAGACCTCCTTCGGCTGGGTCATGTTGGCCAACAGCCGCTTGATGGCGCCCAGATCGGCGATCTTGATTTGGCACGTGTTCCAGTCGGGACTGCTCAGCAGGATGTTGACGCCCTTGATATCGCGGTGGACGATCTTTTTCGCGTGCAAATATGTCAGGCCGTCGACAATATGGTGGGTCCACTTTTGGAAAAGTGCCGCGGGAATGTGATGTTTTGCCGCGGCGTGAAGCGTCCCACCTTTAATAACGACACAGTTAAACAAACTAAATAATTACATGAACAGTAGACAATAAGAATAAGCACACAACTATCAGATTCATTAGAATCTGTTTGAGTTACAAAAAAAAATAATTTTGTCTTAGTGGATTAAAACTCAGCGATAAAGTTCCAGTTTCGGATTAATTTAACGCAAGGCAATTTTCAAAGTAATGTGAATGAACTAATTAAAATGTACGAAAAACGAGTAACTAATTATAACTGAGTAAATAATTAAAATATGGGCCTGTTTAACGCAGTACTAACGGCAAATGTAACGTTAAAAGTAGAAAAAATGTTAGTCGGAAATAGTTTCATAAAATAGTACAAGCAACATGATCGCAAATTTACCAGAACAATATTCCATAACGATAATATAATTCGGCACATCAACTATGCCGGTTTCTTGGGGATTTTGGTGCGCTAGATGACGCACCAAATTCGGATGCTCCAAGCTGAGGATATTCCGTAAATCAATCTCCAGCGCATCCGCCTGTGCGCGGGCATTTTCCCGGTTCAAATCCAGATGGGCCTTTTTTACCGCGATCTCGATTGGTCGAATGCCATCCGTGCGGTTGGCTAGGAAGACTTCGCCTTGAGCTCCGGACGAATCTATCATCCTAATTAGCTGATACGGAATAGGCTTACCAGTATTAGACGCCATAATAAAATAAGTCTTTTAAAATTGCAAAGATAAAAGAAAACAGCGCTTCTTTAAGGCAAATAGTGGTAATTTAAATGCGACTTATCCTTTTATGCTGCGCATAAACGTGCCACACTTAAACGAAGCCGAGTTTTCTGATCGTCTACGGTATAAGCGTAACTGTTGTCTGCTACAGTTGGAAGCCGATTCAAGTCAACACGGTGATAGCGCCGCCGATAAGCCCGCTAATGCGTTCCATCAAATACGGCACCGATAACAACGCTACATGTTTATCAGATCGGCGATAGGGTTGGGCCGTGACGAGATTGCCGTCGTGTTTAAACAGTTTCCGGCGCGTTTTCAAGGACAGTTTATACCAACGTAGCGGCATGTGTGGCCTATCTGTGGCGCTAGCTGTTCTAATAAAAACGCCAGCAGCAAAATTTAAACCGGCTTAGAAATGCGCAGGCACATATAAGCACTGTTTGCGTTTCTAGTAGCGTTATCAGTAGCAAAACCGGCGCTGATAAATTATTGAGTGAGAGTGAATACAGAGACAACTTCTTGTCCGTATAAATAACATGACATTGTGAACAGTGGCACGATTCCGGTGCGTCATTGTTAAACACGAGGAAGGGTAGCTGAAAAAAATGTGCATTATTATGAACTCTGCTTTGTGCCAAAATAATCCATAGTTTTTGCTTGCTGTTTAATGCAAGATAATAAAAACTTCCAGCACGCCGTTAGCCGTTTCCTGCGTTGCACATTTACGGCGTTAGTGGGCGCGCCGTCACCGTGTCATTAAATAATAATTATTGATATTGCCCACGGATCATAACACATCTCAGCGCATAAAGAACGCTGCGCAGCTCCATAATCATTAATCAAAGCGTCGATTTTTTTGGTTTAGAAAACAAATTATTGATGGAAAACCGTTTTTTTGTTCACCCTTTCATCCTTACCGACCGTGACCGACGTAATCAAAACACGCATACGAATAGAGCCCTAAAGGTAAAAAATTGCTGAAGCAGCAAAATAAATGACATTAATGTCAGGCATGAAATTGCCTGAAGACGTTTCCTTTTTTAAATTTATCCTAAAAAATTGGGTACATAATAAATTCAACGAAGAACACAAAAGCAATGTAACTTCAAGTTTCTCCTCTGCCAATTTACAGGCTGTCTGCGCACTATTTCTTCCCGCAAAAATAATGCAAGGACGGGCGCGGATCCGCTGACGCACATGTCAGCAGCAAAACAAACACAAACAGAATTTGTGTTAGCTCAGCGCCAAACATGCCGCGTTAATACGAAAGGAGAGCTCATCACATGCAAGATGACTAAGAACAGGGCCAGGTCTCTTCAACGTTGATTCGCGCGTCAGCCACTTCAGAGAACAACAGGCATTGGACCATGGGCGACAATCGATCCATATCAACCAGTTCAAGTTTCTCATAACTTCCTCTAAAGTCTAAACGACTTCCAGTACGTGACACCCTCCCGCGGATCGTCAGCCTGCCGGCGCCAGATAATCTGTAAAGCGTGGACAGTTGTACGTAGGAACGATTCGTGCAGCATCGTCAGGGACAAACATGTTTAGCGCTCATTTTCTATTAACACTCGCACTCGTCTATGGTTTAATTACACGGAGTTTTGTTGTGTGCCGCGCAGGCGCAGCCCATGGATTTGTCCTGATCTGGTGTAGAACGGTCTGATATTCATCCAAAATGTTTTCCACACTTTGTTCTTCGTTTTTATTAAGCACGCAAACAGAAAGAGTTACTTTCAGTTCGGTAAACTGAATTTGAAAGAAGTGAGGACTTCGCAGAAAATATTCGCAGCAAAGCCAAATCACGCTGCCACACTGGGAGGCTGCCATTTGTTCACCAACCGGAAGCGGTTGGAATTTGCAGTTTTTAAGTTTTCAGTTCATTTATTTTTAGTAAATGTTTGAATAAGTAAAAAACAAACTAATTTTCTGAGGAATTCAGGCCAAGGAGGAAGAAGTCAACTGCCAGTGTAACGTTCCATGAATTTCTAAATGATTAAATGTGCCTCTCAGGCACATGGACGAGGGCGAGTGTTAATGCAAATATCAGCAGGCATTTAACAATATAGCCGCTCAGCAAAAGCATCGCTCCATTTCCGTGTCTTGAGCGCAAAGGCTACAAGATACTTCTGTTGGTCATCCAGCAGCGGACATGTCGTTGCTCGATCGTGTCCCACCAGTAAGCCACCGTCAGACACTCATCGTGATCCAACCGTCCAATCGCCACGTGAATTGTGATCGGCACGTAGCCATCCTACGAAGAACATATCTCGCGCTCGCAGGTAAAGTTCTGGACAGTCACCGAACGAGACATCCCAGCCAGTGAGTCAAACACCTCATAAAGAATTTTAATCCAGTCCTCATTAATAACCGGATAACTACTGTACGAGCACTTCATGTCCTTTAAAACCAGATTCCCCAGAATTTCCTCGGGGTTTACTTGAATAATCTCGCGCAGCAGAAAGCCCATCACACAACGGCCATAGAGCCAGCGTAAATTGTTCTTGCACACCACTCAGAACAGGCGCGCCTACAACGGCTACCACGCGATTCCTGCAACAATCACCAGTTTCATACGGGCGGCGACTCAAATCAGCTTCGGTTGGGACCTGGATGCGCAGCACACGCTTTACGGCCGGCGATAAATGAGTTAACAGTGGTCCGTGGTCACTAAAGCCGCACTGTATCATCAGCGCACAGTATACCGTGGAAAACAACTGCATATCATCCGAATAGTCACGTAAATTTCCGGTTAGTTTGCGGGCTATTGCTTTGAACACCTGGAAGGTGAACAAACCCGCCCACATGTTGCCAATTACTAGTATCTGGAACGGTCTACAAATGCTGACCGCTTTGACACTTCCACAATCATGAACTAACATACCAAACATGGCCCTCTGGCGTTTCGTGGGACTTGAGCCATTGTACGTCTGCAACGTTGCCCGGACAACGTCACAAATTTTGTGCAATATCTTTTACTTTGAGGCGAGTTGCACGCTGCTTTTACATCTATTTGCGTTATCAGGGCAGTGCCCTGTACTTTTTTGTGCAGCACTACAGTTTTGTGTACTGTACTACACTGGTAAGCAAAAACATCTCTAAGGCAAATCAGTTCAGACAAAGTCCAGTTTATCAAATCTAAAGATCCGGAAGCTACCTATAAGCATACTCGTAGTGGTAACCGAGATTAAAACCAGTTAGCGATGTAAAAATACTGGAAAACGAAAGAAAAACGCCCCATATGCTAAATTTTAAAACAAAAAACCCGCTTTAACTATAAAGCAGATATACTAGTATCACTTCGAAAAGTGTCCACACTACAGTTCCAGTACCAAGTTCATGTTAAAGTTACAAGGTATCCAGGATACGATAACATTGCAGTACTGTACGTATACAGTACTGTATACATACGCAAAGCAGATACATAGTAGCCAGTCAGGCTGATCCAGTATGTATCGGAGCAGATACTAAAAGTGAAGAAAAAATCGCCGCCTACTCGAGAAACCAATCAGATTGGATAAATAGTTTTTTTAAACCGTAGCTAAGACCTAAAAAAACCGTTGACGATTCTCCACCAGGATAGCGCCCGTGTCAATTGGGAGCCATACGCAAGCTACGCCCAGAAGTAACCCTTAGCGTGTAGAATCAAATCGAATGCCGAACCAATTTAATCGAATGTAGGACCGATTAACTAATTAACGGATTCAGAAAGAAGATATGTACAGTACAACAGCTGATGTAAGCACCCTTGGCGTGTAGAAACAAATCGAAAGTAGAATCGGTTTAATCAGATGGAGAACCGATTTCGTAATTAATCGATTTAGAAAGAAAATATTTACAACAGCTGATTTAACAATTGTGCGAAATATGCGAAATCTGCGAAGATCAGAACTACGATGGACCACCTTTAGAAATGACCCTAAAAGTACCCTTGGCAAATGCGAATATGGGAAATTTAAATCTGGCATGCCGTTGTATATGCTTACTCAGACACTTTTAAGGAACCCTATTCGAACACTGCGATTGCTGCGGAAATCTAAATACTTCAACCCGGCATGCCGTCAAATATGGAAAAATTAAACCCGACATGACACTGGGTATGCTTACTGTCACAGGTTGGGTATGCTAACTGTTACAGTAAACGCGTTGAACTTATTCAAAATTGAATTACCAAAAAAAGGCAGTACAGTACAGCCTATGTGCAGTACTTACGTACTGTACATAGACAAAACCAATGGTAAACCGTACGGAGCTACTACAAATACCAAGAATACGCCGAACTAAATCAGCATATTTAAACTGACCGCTGTCGCACCCTTGGCAAAATGTTCGAAAGCTTCGAGATGCGAAAATCAGACCCGGCCTGCCTACGGTTAGGCTACAGACCCTGCCTGCCAACGGTTGCTTAAAACTGACCTTAACATCACGCGAATATGGGAATATCAGATCCGGCAAGTCTCTAGTTATACTAATTAGGCTTTCCTTTAAAGTACCCTTGGCGAACGCTGCGAATATGAGAAAATCAGAACCGGCAAAAAAAAAATCTTTGGCTAGGCTTACTTAAGCTTCCCTTTAAAGCACCCTTGGCGAACGATGCGAATGCTGCGAATATGGGAAAATCAGAACCAGCAAGCCGTTCGGTATTCTTACCAAGACTGACCTTTAAAGCATCCTTGACAAACGCTGCGAATGTTGCAAATATGGGAAAATCAGACCTTGCATGTCTTTGGATAGGCTTACTTTGGTTGACTTTTAAAGCACCCATGGCGAACGCTGCGAATATGGGAAAATCAGAACCGGCACGCCGTTCGGTATTCTTACTAAGACTGACCTTTAAAGCACCCTTGACAAACGCTGCGAATGTTGCAAATATGGGAAAATCAGAACCGGCAAGTCCTTGGTTAGGCTTACTTGCTTGACCTTTAAAGTACCCTTGTCAAATGCTGCGAACATGGGGAAATCGGACTTGGCATGTCTTTAGTTAAGCTTACTTTAACTGACCTTTTAGGCACCCTTGGCGAATGCTGCACATGCTGCGAATATGGAAAAATCAGAACCGGCAAGACTTTGGTTATGTTTATTTTGGTTGACCTTTAAAGCACCCTTGGCGAACGCTGCAAATGCTGCGAATATGGGAAAATCAGAACTGGCAAGACTTTGGTTATGACCATATAACGCGGGGCCGTATGGGCGCCACGCGTATCTTCGACAGCGAACAGCGGTGAACCCGGATGAGGCTTTATTGCCGAATCTAATGCGCACCGTGGCGCAGCAACACCAGACTAACGAGGAAGGATTCTGCAGCCAGTGCAACTGTGCTGCAGATCCGTCAAAACAGCGCAGCAATGTGCGGGTGGAAATCCCCAGAAACAGCGAATAGCTACTCGGGAGGGCGGGGCGTCCCGCCCTTACAATGCTTATTTTGGTTGACCTTTTAAGCACCCTTGGAGAACGCCGTGAATGCTGCGAATATGGGAGAATCAGATCCGGTATGTCTTTGGCTAGGCTTACCAAAGCTGCCGTTTAAAGTACCTTTGCCGAACGCTGCGAATGCTGCGAATATGGAAAAATCAAAACCGGCATATCTAAATTTTACAGTGACCTCAGCAGCCACCTTGGAGAACTGTGCGTATGCTGCAAATATGGAAAAATCATAAGTATCAGACCTGAGAGATTCCGACAGCAGCCTTTACGGACTGTGCAAATGCTGTGAGTCTTGATTAATTTAAGGTCTGACTGCCCAACTCATCTCAACAGTTCATCTAAAAAACTCAGCCTGTGCAACTGGCAAGCGCAAAACTGCCGTCAGGCATTGACATGTTGTTAATGGCTGAGTATAAACTGAAAAACTCATTCACGCTACTGCCTGTTTACAGATAAACCCAGATTAGCTCTCAAGAGATAATGCAAGTTGTGTTTTAAACTGCGTACGTAAATTACGTACGCTACCTATATGGGGTTACTGATCCCATTCTTTACCCTGCTGGTTCGTCAATAATGACTCAGTTATAATTTACGCTACGGTTCCCCGAAACTAATTCAACCAAGATCTTTTAAAGATCCGCCCCGGGTCCGAAATTCCGGATCCTCCGCACAATACTAATGCGGGTTCGTCAACAATGACCCGGTTATCATTTACGTCCCGATATCCCAAAACTGAACCATCCGGGATCGCTAAAAAAGTCCTCCTCGGAAGGAAATTTCTGGACCCTCTATTCAATATAATTTACACTACGGTTCCCCGAAACTAATTCAACCAGAATCTCTTAAAGATCCGCCCCGAGCCCAAAATTCCGGACCACCCGCACATTACTACAGCGGATTCGTCAGTAATGAAATTTACGTCACGGTTTCCCAAAACGGCTAAAAAAATTTGCCCGGGTACAAATGTCCGTACCCCCCGCACATTACTACGGCGGGTTTGTTAATAATGACCCGGTTCTGATTTACGTCACGGTTCACCAAAAATAAACCACCCGGGATCGCTAAAAAATACGCTCCCGGTCCAAATTTCTGGACCTCGGGAACCCGGCTCTCTGCTTCGTCACGTCACTAACTTTAAATTAAACACGCTCGCTCGCTTCGCTTGCTCGCTTGTTTAACATTAGATGAAGTGCGGGCAGTCATCTGGTAAATGCCGACGTGGGTGGTCGGATACTTTCAGTCTGTATGGACCGTCAACGTGCGAACTGCGAAAGCATGAACACATTTTCCGATACGCTGACGAAAAAAATTTCGAGTTACGCTCCTGACTGGGTTCGTGTTTGCTGCCTGAGTCTGCATTGATTACGTTCTCATATTTAGGATAAATTTTCGAACAAACAGCAAATTGACGTTCAAGGCCTGTGACTGGATCGCCGTGTTTTAGGAATCGGATCTCAGGTTTACGCTTGAGCAATATACGAGTACCTTTTGCCAAACAGAGTATTCGTTGGCGTAAAAAAAGTATCGCCTGTTACAATGGATGGCATATCAGTCGTTGTCCGATCGGATTTTTCAGCAACCAGTTCCCTCCGTGAGCTCTGGAAACAAGGACGCTTTTGTGACGTAGTGTCGAGAGGGTCGGAACGCGATGCGAAAGATATCACCGTTTGGTACTTGCTGCGGGCAGCGAATATTTTTACAAAATGTTCACTCTGCCGATGGAAGTGTCAAGAGGGAAAAAGCCTGTGAATTTTCCAACAGTATCCACGGCAATCCTTGAAAAGTATGTCTATCAATGTCACAATCTGGTCAGTCGATTCGGGAAGCAATTGACGGTGAAAAATACAAGATACATAGAACTAAGAGTCTAAGACCCCTAAAAGTTGATGTTAACGGGACTGCTGAGCTGATCGCACTGTCTCCAATGCAAGTGTTTTGCTAGGTTGCTGCATTACGCGTATTTTGGAGAAATCATCATTGCCGTTAACGACTGGCAGGATATTATCAACGCTGCGCAGATGACGGACTACGGGAAAATTGTCGTCGGGTCCTAGGAATTTGTTTTGAGTCAGATGGATGCCACTAACTGCGTTTCGGTGTGGAACCTAGCGGTGAACACACACCACGGCAATCCCCACGTCGCCGTCAGGTCAAAGTCGTTCGCTCTACAGCATTTTATGGCATTTTCCCATCTCGAGGAAATTTCTGGAGTTGGATCTGGAAGAGTCAAAACTAAGCAAGGGAGTGTTTTATAGGCAGGTTGACACCGCAGGTCCCATAAACTGTAGCAGTCAGAAAGCACGCTACTAAACTGTCGGAGGCCTCAGGCTTATTCTGCTTGTAGATACTGGAGATGATAAGGTCTGATGATCTCCGAGTGGACGCCGAGATAAGCGTTCTAGAAGCTGTTGATGGATGGATTGACCATTTGCCACAGCAGCGTCGAGTTCGCACCGTGGAGCTTTATTCCCATATTCGCTTGCCATTTCTACCTGACGCTGCCCTGGACGATATGGCGGTTTCTTTAGCAGCGCTTGGTGGTGACGCTGCTGCTGTCCTACGTGAGCGTGTCTTAGGGCCCGTTCTGGCATACACCTATCTATCTTAATTGCTTAGCGAGATTCGAGTTCAACCGGGGACAAACGCCTAAGTGCATTAGGTCCCAAAATTGCGTTCACGCAGTACACCTATGCTAACGTTAATTACCTAGCTCTTAATTGGTAGATAGCAGAATGCAGCTTGAACACTGCTATGCTATCCAAAGGTACCTTTTCCTGTGCTCCGTAGAGACAATGGTTAAAACAAATAGGAACCACTCGAGGTTCCTATTTGTACGGATATGTATACATTTCTGATGGAATGCATTCACAATAATTAATGATGACCTAAAAAATGTTTGATTCAGGATACAACTGATCTCTATTATTAATTACTATTTCATGCATTCATGCAGTATACTGTCAGACTGGAAGTAGGACTTGTATCTGGACTTGAAGACTTTAATGTCCGTGGCGGCCAGGCACATTAAGGGCACTTTAAGCACTTTTCTCAGCATTTTTGAAATTTCATATTTTTGTAATTTGTTGCACTACCATTGAAAAGTAAATCTTGTGAGTGAAGTATCATGTCATTATGTCTTTCGTTTGTGATCTGTGTGGAAAAGTGTGTGCGACTAAGCACGGATTGAGCAGACATCGGGCCTCTGATATCTGTCGTACTGCTCAAGCGAAGAATCTCCGTCAAGCACCACAACTTCCTGGATCATCCGCTCCTACAGTAGTTTTGGAGACCATCGAAACCCGTATATTTGCAGCTCGGAAAAAGCACCCCATTCTTCGTCACATTCCAGCAGGAGCCAGGCGCGCCTGCGCAGAATCCTACACGGCTGCAGTCAATGACGTGTGCAGTAAGAATGACGAAGAGTCTTGGGCCAAATTGTTGCTGTTTCCACTAGACAACCTCCACGCTCCCCTGCCAAAGCTGGACGAGGACCTTCCCCAGCTGCGTCGGTGAAGGCGAATTTGCGCGGCACATCTGCAGATTCTCCTCTCCCTAACACTGTCCGTAATAAGACCAGCAAGAAGAAGACTACTGATGAAACCTTACGCAAACTGGTGAATGCCAAACTGCAGGATGGTGACATCAGCGGTGCTGTTAAAGTTCTGACGTCTGAAGATACGGTTGCTGCGCTGACGGGAGACGTTATTAAGGCGTTACGTGATAAACATCCAGATCCACCAGCGGATCTGGATACAACGGTCTGTGACGTTCAACCTGTTGCTCACAATGTGTCTCCGAATGAGATTCTTGTCGCTGTTAAATCTTTTCCTGCAGGCTCATCAGCTGGACCTGATGGTCTTCGACCGCAGCATTTGAAGGAGATGGTGAGTGTGCCTGGAGAAACAGGGGAGTCCTTACTGTCGGCCCTGTCCAAACTGGCCAACCTAGCTCTATCCGGAAAGATCCCTGCGGCGGCCAAGAGAGTGTTCTTTGGTGGAATGTTGACGCCTCTATTAAAGAAAAACGGGGGTATTCGTCCCATAGCTTGCGGTTGCACATTGCGGCGGCTATTTGGAAAAGTTATCAGCCGACGCGTTCAAGATGAGATGGGAGAACTATTTCGTCCCGTGCAGCTCGGTTATGGTACTCGTGGAGGTGCAGAAGCGGCCGTACATGCTGCTCGTAAATTTGTACGGGATGACTGTTCTGAAGTACAGGTTGTGTTAAACTTGACTTTGCTAACGCTTTTAACACGGTCCGCAGAGATGTGATGTTGAAGAAAGTGGCGGAAGTTCTTCCTCAATATTATGCGTTTATCTCCGCGGCATACAGCACTCCGTCGTCATTGTTTTGTGGAGACCAAATTATTGCCTCTGCCCATGGTATCCAGCAAGGGGATCCACTTGGCCCGTTACTGTTTTGTTTGATCTCGGCTAATTTGTCCAGAGAATTACAGTCCGAATTAAACATCTGGTTTTTGGATGACGGCACGTGCGGCGGGGATCCGGATACCGTTTTGGGAGATTTCATGACTATATTGGGAAAAGCACGCACACTCGGCTTGCAGTTGAATTTGTCGAAATGCGAGCTGCACGTTTTTGGTGGCACTGAATCCGAGCGGAAAGAAGTCATTGAAAGTTTTCACTCTATTTCACCTGAGATTCTGCTGGTTTCGTCGGAGCAGCTGGACCTCCTTGGTGCACCACTTACTGATTTGGCGATTGGGCGAGTGTTAGATGGAAAGATCGGTCAGATACGACGTCTGACTGATCTGCTCGGTGTGTTGCCAGCGCATCAGTCATTGTTCCTTTTGAAGAACAGCCTTTCGCTGCCGAGATTGTTGTTTACTCTTAGGTGCGCCCCGTGTTGGAAGTGTCCAGATAAACTGCGCCTGTTTGACGATACCGTGAGGAGAAAAGCGGAAGAAATTACGAATGTAGAAATGTCCGACACCGTGTGGCGACAAGCGATTTTACCTGATCGCCTTGGAGGAATCGGCCTTTGTAGGGCGGAGGATGTAGCGTTGCCTGCATATCTATCTTCGTGTTATGCTACGGATCCTCTGGTCTGTGAGATTGTCCCGGATACTGGTCAAAGCCCTAGAGAAAATGTGGTTAAGGTTTATCAGGAGAAACTTGGAGAAGACCCACCGCCTATGCCGAGCCGTCGTTTCCAGTCAGCGTGGACCGGTGTGATGTACGACAAAATGCGCCGTCTCTTAGTGGACAATGCCGACGTTATCGCTAAAGCTCGCTTGTTGGCCCTGTCTACAAAAGAGTCTTCTGCATGGTTGTCGGCGCTGCCTGTGTCCAGTTTAGGAAACCTTCTTGATGATGTCAGTTTACGAGTGGCTGTGGCTTTACGCTTAGGTGCTTTTATTTGTAATGAGCACATATGCCGTTGTGGCGAAATGGTTGACAGGTACGGTCATCATGGCCTTTGCTGTAAGAAAAGTGCAGGACGAATCCGGCGCCACAGCGCGCTCAACAACATAGTTCAGCGGGCGTGTGGATCTGCGAAAATATCCGCCATTTTGGAACCTCCCGGACTTGATAAGGAAACTGGAAAACGACCAGATGGCATGACCCTGTATCCTTGGCAATATGGAAAACCATTAGTATGGGATGTCACTGTAGCTGACACGCTAGCGGCAACATATATTGGCCAAACTTCTGACCACCCTGGCGCTGCCGCGGAAGCCGCTGAGATTCGAAAACTGGGAAAATATGAGAAGTTGAGGGATCGATACATTGTACATCCTTTTGCTTTCGAAACTATGGGATCCTGTGGACCAAGCACTAGTGGTTTTATCTCGGATCTGGCCAAACGTATTCGGGAGCAGACTGGAGAAAGCCGTGCGAAGCAGTTTTGTTGCAGCGTTGCAGTTTAGAAATACAACGGGGCAACGCTGCCTGTGTTCTTGGTACAGTCGAGTGCAGTCGCAATCTCGATGAACTGTTTTTGCTTTTCTAGAGGTTTACAATGACTTGTATAGGAAAAGACTTCCCCTTTATGTATTTATGTATACCTAATTATTTTGAAACAGCTTGGTTTGTTACTGTCCATAAATTTTAAACTACTTAAAATTTCATGCATCAACGGTACTTCAACGTGCACCCTGCACAATCTTGTGACTGTTGACATCACATTTTAAATGATATCCCACGTTTTTTTTGCAGAAGCAAGTCTGTATTAATTGCATGGTACCATTTTGTTTGAAATACTCGCGATATTTGTTCTATATGCAGTTTTATAAAATTTCACTTTGGCTGCCGCGGGTTACGTATATGACGATCTAATATGTCTACAGATGGCACAAACAATGTGCACTTTTTACTGGGAAAAGATTTAATTTAAAAAGACCATCAGTACTCGTAAGTAGTCTTGTAGATGTAGAATTTACCGTTTAAAGATTTCTTCTTCCGTTTTAATTCCGCGTTTTCGTTATCTAGGTAGTCTGCAGGCGGCATGTGTTCACGCATACACGGCCATCTATTGCAAGCGCCTAAACAACAGCTTTTATGGCACCTATTCAAAGGCGTCAACGTGAACGCAATTTTGGTCCCTATATAGAAATCTATGTAGGAAAGCGCGCCGCGTTCACGCGTACTGCTAAGAAACCGGCCGTTTCGGGCGGTGCTTTAATAGGAAATCGGATAGATAGAAGTCAGCGTGAATGGGGCCTTACAGTTCCAACAAAACCATGACACCGAAGGCTTTATTCCGCGAGTGTCTTATGGTGAGTATCATCATGTTATCATTTCATGTCGGCTGATCGAAAACACTGGTATTTTTCTGTTGATCACAGATACGTACACCGTAATCGCTTTCGCCGGTACACAGTTTTCCGACAAGATCAAGTGCTTCGTCCCTGCAACTGGCGCCATTGTCACTTTGCCAGCGCTGACTCTTACAATTTCGGCTGCAAGTATCGCTGTTATGGGCCGGGGCGATTTGTACATTTGTGGTGGTTATGTGGGACGAAACAACCGTCCGTCGGGAAGAGTGTTTCGCTACGATGCCGCACTCAATCAGTGGCAGGAAAAACAACAAATGCAGACTGCCCGAGCAGAGGCTGGCATCGCGGTTATTTAGGGAATGCTGTACGCCATTGGCGGCACTGCCATCGTGGGGACAAGTTATACCGAGCTGGACTCGGTCGAGCGATTCGATCCCCAAGAAAACGTATGGGAGTACCTCGCACCTCTGCCGGTCGCCCAGACATCTTGCGCCGTTGTCGCGCACAACAAGGATTTATTGGTTTTTGGTGGCCGAACCCGCCGTGAGGATTTTTCTGTGCTCCGATACGATGCTTCCACTGATCACTGGCAAAATATTGGCGGCCTCTGCCCTCCCCGGGCAGGGTGTAAAACCTTGCAGTGGCACCTGCCAATGGCATTGCCAGTGGCATGGCATGCGATAAAAACTGGACACTCTGGCAACTGGCAAGCGATAAAACCTGGCAGATGCTACATAAAATGTGGCACCACGTATAAGCGGGTTCGGAGAGTTTGGTGTATCTGTAGTGCATATCCTTAAAACTCTTGCTAAAACATAAATAGGCCGGATAGTGCTAACAGCATCGGCCGTGCACAAAGTGCGTAAATTCGCGAAAGTATGAAATGAAACTCTGAAAGGTCAACTTTGCACCTTGCTGTGAGCGCGAAGTCATGCCTACAGGGCGTTACAAGCGTAACTGCATGATGTTAACCGGCGCCGCTGTGATTGCAGTAGGAACTGTGATTGCAGTGTACTCAATAGCAAGAATCAAGTTGTCACCGGGGACAACTTTATTTCAGCAGCGCGATAACGATAACAATTTTAAGATCTAATTACGGTGCCGTAATTAGATCTTAAAATTGTTGTCGCGATACTGAAATAAAGTGCACATCATCAAAGTTGTCTGATGGCTCAATGTAACCTGCCACGGCGAACTTTGTAATGTTGCTTGGTATTCGGTAACAATACTTTTCAGACTACGAGTGTTCGAAGGATAAAGCATTCAACACTCGCTCCTAATGTCAGAACGCTTTAACGTTTTTGTTTTTATGGTGCGCATGTTATATTCTTCGTACATCTGGCGTATTTATGTGTTTCTATCATTTTTCCATGTTAAAATGTTAAAGGCATTTGGAAGTTAATACTGTGCGCCAGCTACATATCAGCACGAATGCTTTTGAGTAGTGAAAAACTACTCGTGATAATAACATAAATAGCTGATTGTTAACTTGTTGTCACTTACAATTATTACATCATCTCAGTTAACGTTAGAGGCTTTATTTCGCAATATGTACAATCCAGCTTTGCTTAACAATTACAACCAGATGACGAATATGTTCCAACTAGCATGGGATGGGACCGTGCATAACACACTCAAGGTATGTACATGCAAATACCGCGCATTATTACAGTAGGGGGGGATTTTTATTGGGTTACACAAATGAACATTGTTTAAACAGTAGTGTCATGCAGCTCTGCGTCTAAAATCGTTGCCACTCGAGCCAACTCAAAATTATGCATACAGTACACAGTCAGTCTTTGGAGTAAACTTGACGTTTGCGCACTTGCGTGGTACAGTGTACTCTGTAGAAGTAATATCACCCTACCTGTCTAAATTTGCAAGCAAATCTGTACAAAATCTGTTGGTTGTAGGACCTTTCGAATTAGTCCGTGAACCACCAAATTTTTTTATTAAGGGTGTAATACGCATATTAAAAATACGGTGTAGTGTGTTCCGACTTATTAGAAGCGCATGTCAATAATAAATGAGACAAAAAGAGGTGGAAAAACAAATTAAGTTACTTAATGTACTACTTACCCAAATTGGCATCGTAGTCGAATACTCGAACACCGAGAACGCAGATACGGACTTAAACGAATTTGTTTTTTCGTAGCGTGTCACTATGATCCTATGATTCCCAATTTCCTATTCAATTTAAAAGAGTTCATATTTCAAGGACGGGACAGTGACAGCAAGTGCTGCAACTGTTCGGTGCTAAAAAAATTAGCGCCAGAATTAGAGTCAGATGTAACTCTTCAACGCAACTCGGCAACAGGGTTTAAGTCCGTTTAACGTATGCACACCGCACAGCTGGATATAATTTACACTTACGTATATATACTGGCGCTCCAGTTCAGCTGCTTGTGTCGCATGGTTTATTTTCGCCGATATAAGCAACTGTCAAATTTACCACGTATTGGGATTCAGATGCGAATTGTATCTAGGTCAAAACGCTCGAGCGCGCTCCAACTCACGCACTGATTTGTGAGTCAGACAGATTCACTGATAACGCTGCGCGCATTGGCCAGATGGAGAATCAGTTGCTGAATTATAAAACCGAGCTGTTGAGCTCGGTTTTATAATTCGTGGCCACATTCACGACCGCACATCAACTCGTTAAAGTTATCCTGAGCTGCTTATAAATGTTCGTGATGATTCCGTGCTGCATTAAACTGTATGAAATTACGCTATAGTCCGTAATTAAGTGTTGAGATAATATGGTTTAATTAACTTAATTAACTAAATTCTAATTAAGCAAACTTTAATGAACAGTTATAACTAGAATCATTTACGCCTAATTAGAACATTTAGCACCTAATAATTAATTTCGCACTTAAGTAGTAGTAATTTTGCACCTGAATTTTTAGCACCTAATTAGCAATTTTGCCCACATGAAGAAAAACTTAATTATTGCATGTCATTAAGCTTAAATTATTTTTCTCATTAAGTCTGAACTTGTTGTGTTGCGTTGACCATGGCAATAAACGGCAATGAAGGCTGATTTATTGCAGAATTCACGGTGCTCTCAGATATGGTATTTTTTCTACTCGTGTATCTGTTATCACTGGTGGGAACATATTTCAGTTTTTTTTCTCTTAGTCATAGAAGAAAGATGAGTAACAGATACGTGCGCAGCAGTCGTGTCGCAGATACAAGCGGGCTGCTGATATCTGACAGTTGCTATAATACGAGTACAACTGCAAAATAATCAGTTAGCTGTTTGTCGAGCTACCGTGCGTATGTAAAAGTGCGCGTATAAATGGCGCCGGTTGTTTTGGAATAACAGCAAAGTTCATGTGAAAGTATACGGCGAACAGTTGATACGAGCCAGTGACCGGTACTGTAGAACACTACAATCATTAAAAATTAAAACATGATAGACATTAGACAGTCACCATGTACGACCTTGCTTACTTTGGCCTGTAGTTTCAATAGATCTTCTTTATTAATAATCGCATAAGTTCTGGTAATAAAGAAAGAAATACGCTATCTTATTCACAACAGCAAAACTTCATTTAAACTATCCACTCCGTCCATTGTGCCAAGGATAGATGCTGCATTTCCACGCTGAATCTCCAACGATATTCGTTGACGCAAAAACTCATGTGATCGACGCTCTCCTGTATGCTCTTGAAGTCTTTTGCCCAACTCCTTCACGATGGCGATAGCCGATGGGCCCCAGGGGCCCATCGTTTCAAAGGCGATGGGAGAAAAGATAAAGCGCCCTTGCAGATACGCATACAGTCGGGACTTCTTATCTTCTGCTTGTACAGCAGCAGCTGCAGCCGTAACCGACGTCGAAGGGAGATGGGAAAAGGCCACTGTGTCAACGCACGTCACATCCCAGGCCAGACACATTCCTCTTTTCCAGGCGAAAGTTGTACAACCGTCAGGGCGTTGATCTGTTGTAGAGGACGTACCGCGTGGTTCCAGCTTAGCGGGAACACCGGCTGAAACGCACGCCCGGCATACAATGCTGTTTAAACCACCATGGCGCGCGTGTCTACCGGCCGAGTAGCTGCATGATAAACCGTGGTGTCCTAACTTGTCAACGCGCTTCTGGCATTTAGTGCA